CAGCGCAAGGGGATTGATTGATTGATTACATTTGGATCGGGTCGCGCCCCCGGGGAAGAGATGCACCTGCATCCTGACGACGACCTAAAGAGATCCACCCAAGAATAATGCCCAGCCGTGGGGCGCCATGGTCTCTTCTTGCTAAACGGTCATGATTGACTAGGTATGTAAGTTTTGCGACAGAGACTTTAGTGATGACGGATTTTTTGGAGCATAGTCCCTCTCTAATGCATCTTAATATCAAAGAGGGAAAACCAACAATTTCAGGACCAAGGTACAAAGAGGATCACGGCTGATGGACAAGGGGACCAACCCTTTTTTCTTTTCGTTTTCCTTCTTCAACTGAGCCACGTATGCAAGCCCCTCACCGCGGCAGCGAGCCGCTTTCAAACAGCATTTCACCTTGATCCTTGACAGGAGAGAGAGAGAGAGAGAGAGAGAAGAAAAAAGGTAAAAAGTAAAAAGTTCGGCAGAAACAGATATTCTCTTTTCCAATCTGTCAGACATGCGGGTAGACGCGTGTTGCCCACATCTAGTGGGAACTATAAAACTGACAGCGCGCGCCGCCATGTTACCGGAATCCAGGGTATAGCGAGCCCCGGAGATGGGTGGGTTGTATTCGATTGCATAAACGAACTGGGCTACAAAAAGGAAAATATGACATGACAGCCTTTGGACCCGGAATCCGGGTTTGTGTTTGAATAAAGGAAAGAAAAGACCACCCACCCACTCGCCCTTCCTCGCGTATCGCAAAAAAGGGCTAAATCTATTAGAGATTACGATGAGATCTCGCAGCTCGCAGTCGGCCTTTGTTACCAAGAGGGAATGCTGCGCATCCGCCCTCTCATCCAAAATTCGACGGGGGTGTTTGGTTGGTTGGTTTCGTTTACAAAGCCGAGCCGCGCGATAGTCGTTCCTATATACTATTTGTTACCCGCTTACATGACAACTCATTGCTTAATAGTCTTTCTTCTTTGCACTAAACCCAAGTCTTTTCAGCATGCAGATAGAGAAGAATCCATCGTCATGTGACTGGGTAGAAAGCACAAAACCTATACAATTTACAATATCTACGATTCCCGAGGTCGCGAGCAGAGATCTCGTACTGCCGGATCTGACAGTCAGGTTCGGGCATGCGCCCAAGAAATATGATCAGTCACATTTCTTCCCTTGCTCTCTCCCCGCTTTGATCCCCCCCCCCCCCCCTCTCTTGTCTCTTGGTTCCCATCAGCTGTTTTCGATCTTCCCGGGCCTAACCTGTCCATTTTGACGCTCGCCTATCTCCTTCTCCCTCTCTTGGGTTTCTGTCTGTTTATGCGGCCCCGTGCCCACCGTCTTTCTCTTGCTCTAACTCGCTCCCTCTTCCGCCCCAAAATCCACCTTCTTCTCGGCCAAGGATCTCGCTTCTCAAGGGGGGGAGGGAAAAAATGACGAGGACAATCCCAGTATCTTTCTTTGCCCCAGTTTGACAACAAAGCATCAAGAGGATTTGACGAGGCGAGAGAGAAAGAAAAATGCCCCATTGTAGATCCAATCATGCTCTAGTGGATTTCGGACGAGTCTTTCAAAAACGGACAAAGTTTTGATCTTCGCAAACTCTTCCCAATGTAACGGTTCTGCGGAAAAGAATCCGACATGGAGAAAGATACGAAATGTATTAGCGATAATCCAATAATCTTGTTTTGAAGAAATATCAAAAGGCCAGATCTATCCTCTCTCTCGCGAAACAAAGACCCGAAAAAAACTGAGTTTTAGACGAGAAATGATATATGATGAGAAAAGAGGATATGTTTTGAGCCTTTTCACAAGTAATCCATAAATGGATTATTAAACATGGTTTATCGATCAAGATCTGGGAAATAGACTTTAGTTGATGTCCGTGTGCCACAGATCTTGAAATCCTTTTTTTTTTT